CTCTCTCTCTCTCTCTCTCTCTCTCTCTCTCTCTCTCTCTCTCTCTCTCTCTCTCTCTCCCCTCTCCCTCGGCTCTTCCTGTCTCCCTCAGCCTCGCTCCCGTTACAATGGCCCGATATCGAGCCCTGGTGTCCGGTCACCTCTTCAGATTGCAGCGACCAGTATCCTAGGTGACTTTTTCTCCATGAGTCATTGCTCCATCACTTCCATCATTTTGCCCCGAAATGGCAATTCATCCCTTTTCTCCATCCATCGCAACTCGGTTGTGACCACTTTACCGGGGTAGTTCTGCTTCCAGAGTTCTTCAACCAGCCTGAGGACATTCAAGCACATCAGGCCCAGATCGTTGGAGTTATTCGTAATTCGCTGGATGGTGTTGGCGACCGTAGCGAATTTGCCCTTACGAGGACCAAGGGATGAAAAATCTTTGAAGGTCCGGAATCTCGAAGGACCGTCCTCCCAAATAGTATCAGTGTTTTTAAACTTGTGGAACATCAGGATGGCCGCTATGACCCCACTCACCACCAAACGTATTTCTAAAAAATCTAAGATCCCATTCCCAGGGTCAGTTCTTTCCAACAGCAGCCCATCCGGATAGCAGCTCGTAACCAAATCGAGGCGTTTCTCGACATTACTGCGCCCCTCTTGCTCATTTATCTGAAAGAACGAAACGACCAGCAGATCATCAATATACCTCTTGCCCGTAATGAATTTACTATTAGTCCCCAGAGCCCGCAGGAACTGGTACTCGACCATCATGCACATAATACATGCAAGCAGGGGACTTGCCCTACCCCCAATTGGAATGCCCTTCTTTTGCCGTAAGACAGCATCCGAGACCAAGAAAAATGTGTTCTCTAATTGGAAATCAGTAAGCAACCCCAGCTTACTAAGTCTAATTGTCTTCCAGCCTGTATCACCGTGTGCTTTCCCAAAGCAATCCACTTTCTTCCTCGTGTTCACTCTAATCCTTCGGATGCCCTTCTGACGGAACAATTTCACCGCCCATCGTACCGCCCGACTGATTTCACAGTGCGGTAGTTGTGTAAACATCTCTTTAATGTCATATGTTCGTGCCACAAAGCTAAGGTCGGCCATCCCAGTGGTACGACCATACTGGTTAATTTTGTCGATCTCATCCTTAATATCACTTATTGCATGTAGATTAAAGTGTGAGACAGACACCTTTCTAATCAACGTATTTAGTACGGTAGACACCAGACCAGAGGCAGAACTCAAAGGGCTAGCAAATGACGGGACTATAGGTCGCCTCTTCAGTTTATCCTTCTCCTTAGCAAGGATATACGCAAGTTGGAGCTCCCCTTCCCTATCCCATCTAGCTATATCACCAAGGCGGCTATCGTCAAAAAAAAAATTCATCTCTCTTAGGACAATAGACTTCTGCTTCTCTATCCTCTCATAATTCTCATTGTCCAGGAACATCACCCTTAGGTCATCTTCATACAACTTGGGGCATTCTAGCCATGTCTCACTGGTGTTGCGATCCAGCGGTGACATGAGTAGTCCCTTGAAGGCTTGTGCTACCCATTCACATACTCACTCTGTACGCAACCACCAACATTCTTCACCCCGGGCGTGCACACATCACGCCAGTCTATCCTGATGCACTCGGAGAAACCATGAGTCTTCCTCAGACTATCCAATGACAGATTGCAGATCCTACCCAGAGCATCCTTGGTTGTAAGGGTGTCGAGAAATGACACCTTTTTTGCATTAAACAAAAAAGAGTGTACCCCTTCAATCTCGTTGAGCTTCACGGCTGCATGCCCATTTACCATAGGCAAGTTAAATCCAGCGCAGGCACAGTCAAAAGACTCCGTTTGTACAAATGATTTCTGGCTATGAAGGATGTGACATACAGTTCTGGTTTTAAGCCAAGTTGTCCACGTCCTCCTAGCATACAGGTGAGTCAACGATATTGGACGGACCTTATTCACAATCCAAGACTTCACGACACGCTCCACATTGCATTTGTCAATGGTAGTGCAAAATGAAATCTTGATGATCATATTCAATAAAGGGGGTTAATACCAAAAAAAAAATTAACATCGTTAGTCAATATCCCACGCATGATTTGTCGGCCCCTTCGTTGGTTGATAGATTTTACACCATTATTTAAGTCAATCAGCTCTTCCAGCGTACGTGAGAACAAGTCTCTGAGCTTCCAAGGCGCTCTTAAAAGCACAATCAACTCAGTTTTTGTCCTGGTTTGGAGCAGCCCAACAATAGACCAACATCCCCCACACTCAATTGCGATTCTAACATCCTTCTTGACGTCGGCGAGGTTCAAGCTTCCCTCCAACCTAGAGCTCAAATTTTGCTTCACACTAGCACCTCCAGACCCTTCCTCATCAGAGGAGATTTTAATTTTTTTGGTCATGCCCGTCGTCTGGTTGCGCGAGCTAGGTATGCCCACGTTATTTTTCGGTATTTCAACAGCAGGGGTCCAATACCTCCCCCCCGTTTTCTCTTCTCACCGTTGGATTCTCTCTTCCCTTTCTCCATAAGACTTTTTTCAGCCCTCGATCTCTCGAGCTCCTCCTTCTCTGCTGAAGCCAACTTTGATTTCGAGTCGACTTGATCCAACTTTTGTGTGATCAGCTTCAATGAGTCACCAAGCGGTGATGTGACACAAGCCTTCATCTCCTCACTTTTGTCAACTGATTTCTCCGCCGACCGACCGCTTTCCACATTACTCTCAACTATGTGGATGCGGCTTCGACGACCACTTGTGATCTTCTTCGTATCATCCTTCAGCACCTTATGCGATTTAATATTTTTTAATATATCCATATACTCTTTCGTTAAGTAGGCCCGGTTTTCAGGTCCAGGAAAGGCATTAGCCGATAGTCCTTTCCCGCTCGAATTCACCTGCCTATTCTCGTTACTGCTAGGCGCTTGCTGCTGAGAAGGAGGAGGAGGAGAAGGAGGAGGAGGAGGGGGAGGAAGAGGAGGGGGAGGAGGAGGAGGAGGCAGCTGTGGGTTACTTGTTTGCAAATTGTTTCTAGGTCTAGGAAAGGCACGCCCGACCTAACCCTTCACCCATAGCCTCATTACATTTTCTCAAAAACTAAGTGTTACCGATGGACCTAGCTCAATTGGTACACCTACGAACATTTAAATACAGACTCAAGTTCAAATCTAGATGCAATTAGATTATCATAGTAAATTAATTCTAGATTACCTGGGGCCTAGTAAGTTGAATAAGAATATCTCAAGGCTGTCACCCCGCCCAAAAAAAGGAAAACTTATGCCGCGTTGTCGGACCAAATACCCTTACAAGGGTATTAGGCCATGCTTTTGCAGTCGGCACAACGACGGCATCGACTACCATGAGGGGGCTGGTCTGAAATAAAAAGGTATATGCGCTTTAGCGCGACTCTCTAAAATGATTTCCTCAATCATTGAGGCCAGGGCAAATCGGTAAGAAATTTCGTTAAGTATGCACACATGTTATTAAGACGCACACTTTGATGGTTCGAATCGCTAGTAATGCCCTTCGACCGCAGAGGTCGAGGGGTCAATTGGGTTAGCGATGTGTATGTCAGATAAACCTACGATACACACTGAGACTTAATCATCAGTACGTTAGTTGGGATAAATTAATATACGCCCCGACCATACGGTCGGAGCAAACTAAAAGTGTGTGATCGTCAGGTTCGCGGTAGCGCCCGGATTGCTAGCACTTGCGCGAGCAGTACCTCAAACCTTACTGTTATACCGCAAGCTAGGTTGAGGCTCTCGTTCGGCCTCCCATGTGTAGAAAGGCATTTGCCTCTTGGGCAGGGACATCCTGACCGCTCGACGGGTCCAAGCAACTGGTACCTCATCCCTTTCCGAGGGAAAACATCATTGCGTACTCTGATATCGCTCGCATAGGCTTTAGATTGAGGCTACTTGAACTGGTACCCGCCTACCTGCCAGTACTATGCCTCTAAAAAAAAAATGCCAACTTTTGTCTTCTTATGCTCGACCTCGGCCTCTACTTTCTGTGGTACCAGCCTACATGCTACTTGAGTGATTTCGCTGCTCTTAAAGTGTCGCGGGTCTCTTTTCCTCGCCACTTAAGTGTTTTCCCCGCCACAACCCTCAATGTCATGACCACTGGTAAGTACCGGCCATGCAGGGGCCTCTCAAACCAACAGGTGCCATGCAGGTCACACATATACGCAGGCCAACAAACACTCATACAGGCATGCAGACCAGCAACCATGCACACATACAGACTTAGAAAGTCAGGCCAACTAATTCTACTGTAGGAAGGTGGCTCTTTATCATATTGTGGTAAGAGTTAGCCTTATAGGTAACTGGTTGGGTTTGTATATAAGGGATTGATGGATCGAACCCAAAGGCCACTTGGCTAACTTTTTCTTTTAGCGAACAACTCAAATTCGGCCTCGAGCTACTGATGTAGGTCGAGATTCAAACCCATCGAGACGGGAGTAAGGTAGTAGTTAGTTAGTTGTCGTATTTCTTTCTTTGGGTTCCCGTGCCCGACAGGTGGCATGCCGGGGTAGTTAGTAGAGAGATTGTTTTTCCTTATTTGTTTACTTTTTTTTAATCTCGTTAGATTTTCTTTCTTCTGTTTTTTTTTTTTTTTGTTTTTCCTTTGCCCTACGTGATTCCATATATGCAACCAAATGTTTTGGATGAATGTGCCACAGATTCAAGGGCAGATTCGTCCGAGTGGGGTTGATGATGCCTTTGTCGGGTGAGTTGCGACCGCGGTCCGCTCGACTCCACTAGAAGAAGGGCAAAGGGATAACGGAGCTCGACGAACTCGGACGGTCACAGGAAGAGCGGAGAGCGAGGACGCACAACACTCACCACGCGGGGGAAAGGTGATCGTAGCGAGGAAGAAAGGCAACTGCATGGAGGTAGCGCAACTCGGGAAAGAAAGCGCGTGGGCAGAAAACAGCTGCACGGAGGTAGAAGAAGGACGCGTGAAGGTAGAAGAAGACCGAGCAGAGGAAGAAGAAAGCGCGAAGAAGAAGAAAAAGAAGAGGACGAGGAAGAAGGAGAGGCCGCGCATAAGGGAATTGGGAATGAACACAAAGATGAACGACCGCATGCACGGTAAGAAAGGCGACTGCGATGAGGAAGACGAGGAGAGCATTGAGCTAAGACGACGACGAAACGCGAATGCATGCCTGGGCGAACGAAGTTGATGAACATACGGGAGGATGGACTCAATGAACGCTCGAGCGGAGAAGACAAGCGAAGGTGGTACCAAGAGGAGAAATGCGCGGAGGAGAAGAGAAGGCTGCGCAGAGGTAAAGAGAACTGCGTGGAGATAGAAGATGACCGCGTGGAGGGCGAAGAAAGCGCGAAGAAGGAGGAGGAGGAGAAGAAGAAGAAGAAGAAGAAGAAGAAGAAGAAGAAGAAGGAGACGAAGAAGAAGAAGAAGAAGGAGATGAAGAAAGAGACGAAGAAGGAGAAAAGCGAGACGAGAAGAGAAACGAGGAGAAGGGCGACTTACCTGTCATCCACCTGACCTGTTGGATGCGCGTGGTGCCAGTCATGCCCCCGCGTGTCGAGGTTTCGGAATGTTGCACTTTCACGATGGATCGTGATGCGCTGCGGAGCGGTAGGCAGCAAACTAATGACGATGACGACGGTGACGACGACGATGATGAAGGGAGAACAGATAAGTCTCTAACCTCGTGGCGATCTCATGCTACTTCCATCAATAGGATGAGCAAAATTGAATGAATTTACCGCTAGAACGTGGAGATATACACTCCTACACTTATGTGTGCGTGATCTGCTTACGTGTGTGTATGTGTGTGCATGCATGTGTGTGTTTATGAGTGTATGTGTGAATTGCGCGATCATGCTACTTCCATTGATAGAGCTAGCAAAAGCGAATGACTCTTTCACTAGAATATGGAAAGGTGCGCTACTACACTCGTATCAATCGAGTGAGCAAATTCAAATGAATCTACCAGTAAGTCATGTATATATACACTACTAATACTTGTATGTGTGTGTGTGTGTGTGTGAGTGGGCATGAGGGAGAGAGAGAACGAGCACGTGCTTCAATCCTGCGGATGTACCTCACGTTACTTTCGTCAATGGAACGAGCAAATTCGAATGAATGTACCGCTAGAACAAGGAACAATGCACTACCGTACTAGTGCGAGTGAGTGTGTGTATGTGTGTGTGTGTGAGATAGAGAGAAGCTCCCGAACGTATGGTTATTAACCCCGTACCCAGACTGAAAGCTGCCCGAAATACAACTATAACGACCGAACATTCTATTCGCGGGAGGACAGTAGAGAGAGTAAGAAGATGTAGAGCAGAAGCAGAACGAGAAGACGATGGTTGGCTTCAAAAAAAAAAAAGATGCTTTGTATGTCGATAACCTCCGCAGCAACTGTCAAACAAGCTCGAAATCCTTGGTTTTTTATTGTGTCCCTTTTTTCCACCGTGCTCCAAATCCTTAGCTTGTGTTTTGTATCCCTTCTTTTCACTGTTCACTTCGTCTCTCTTCCTCCCCCCCCACTTTCACTGACATAATCATAGCTGGAAGTGGAGATTTTGAGCACACAGAGAGATATAGTGTCCATTTTTCGAGTCGTTCCTCAGCCCCCGTTTATCCTTGAAGCTCGTTCTCGTAACACGAACCTTCGTGAGATGAATCTGGCAGTTAGAAGGGGTCGAATACATGGACGAAAGCCATAGTGTGTGTGCCCTCATTACGGGCAAATCTCTTGGGCGAACAGTCGTGCAAAGAAGGGGCCTTGGTTTGGCAGGAAAGGGTCATCTTCCGGACTTCTCATCGTGTTCCCTCGTTATCTTTTTCTTCCTCTCTCCTCGTCTCCCTCTCCCTCTGTGTAGCAGTTTTTCTCATCGTGAACCGTGGGCCATTGTAGGCTTTTCGGTGTCTGCGAGCTGTGTGTGAGTGACCAAGGGAGGTGGGAGCTTTGTGTGTGTGTGTAGAGAGAGAAGGAAAGAAAGAGAGAGAGAGAGGAGAAAAGGTAAGTGAAAAAGACAAACAGACAGACAGACAGACAGACAAAGACACACAGTCACGGTGACTACACAATGAAAACACACACAATCACACACTAACACACAATGAAAACACACACAATCACACACTAACACATACAGTCACGGTGACATACACAGTAAAACAACACACAGTCACGATGACGTACACATTGAAACAATACACAGTCACGGTGACATGTACAGTGAAATACACACAGTCACATATACAGAGTGACACTGTAACAGACATACAGTGACACAAACACAGTGTCAGACACATAGACACGGTGTCACATACACAGATACACAAGTGACACACAGAAACTCAGTTACAGGCACACAATCACACAATCATACACTGACACATACTTAGTGACACAGTAACACATACGGAAGTGACATTGTGACATATACACAAGTGGCATACAGATACACAGTAACACAGACACAGAGACACAAACACACAGACACGAAGACGCACACACTAATTGTACTAACAAGCAGCTATGGCTTATCCAAGATGCTTCGACAACGCTCAGCACGGCTCACAGACAAAATGAATGAATAACTTGACGCTGTCTCTTTATTTATACTTCGGATTGTCAAAAGTCTGCCTTTGGACCTTGGGCCCGGGGTGCACACAGTCCCACATGGTACTTGCTAAGTTGACAAAGTACGACCAGGACCGGGTACCGCTAACTGGGCTGGGTTAGACTGCCCACTTGCCTGCGGACTATAGGAACTACGACCTTGACTCTTCGGAACTGTAGCAACTACGACTTATACCACTGCTAAGACTTTTAACTTATAGACCTATTGTTTGAGGTCCGATGACCGCGCTACCTACAACAAGCAAACAGTCGGCAGCAGCAACACCTCCCATATGAGGAGGAGGACAGCCAGTCTCCGACATTCAGGTCTAGGCAGGCAATACGGACAGGCTACTGCAACGCTGCGCAAGTGTCTGCATGTGCGCTAGCGGTCGTAGCCGGGCTGCAGAGCGCGAGTTTAGGGAGGTGAGAACGTGGTAGGTAGGTAGAGAGTGAGTGAGCAGGTGAGTCAATGTTGTTTGCAGCCAATCACGTGAGCAGACACGGTGCACAGCTAATCGAGTAAGTGAAATGCTATGCGCAGCCAATAGAGAGAGTGAGTGTCTGATTATATGAATTTGCAGTTTCTTCTGGACTAAATCTGAGCTAGGAGAAGTGTTATGCATATATGAACAATCGTTTGAAATGACTTTATATTTCTTATATTACAAACGCATGATGGAATGCAGACCCCATGCAGGTCGATCTTGTTGTCTGATTGTCGATACGAGTTGAGTATGACTAACTGTTTTTGAAAACACATGGTGGGGACGAGAAGCTCTCGTGTGGGTTATCTCACCGTGTGTATGTTTATTTTTTGGTAGAGAAAGCAGCAGGCGTGTGGACTTCGTGAAGTCTTGCCCTGCTCGATAGGATTCCTAACATTGGTAAGCGTTGGGATCACGCTGATATCAAGGACATTGTAAAGAACATTGGATTCTGTATGACTATTCATACTTCAGATTCTTGTTTGGACTAATCTATAATGTCATAAATGTATTATTGTCATAGATTTATGACGAACACTCATCATCTTAAACTAATGCAAGTCAAAAGTCAATTGCAGGTATTATGAGAAATACGTAATGAGGTGAGAGTTCCCGTGTGAACTTTCTCATTAGGTGTTTTATTGAGTCATTGGGATGTGACCCTGTGTGGCTTACCCGACTGGCTTTAAGACTTTCAATCGATCTAAGACACGGGGGTTCAAAAGAAGTAAACTAGCAGGGGTAATAAGAGGAGTGAGGTCCCAAGAGACCCGCCTTATTACTTTAATCTGCTTTAAGTAAGGAACTGTGATAATAGGAGGAGCAAGACCTCGTGAGGTCTTCCCTATTACCAACCAACACCAAGGGATAGTGATAGGAGGAACGAGGTTCCGTGAGGTCTGCCCTATCGCCAACAAATCCTGATAAAAGGTGGATGGTAGTAGGAGGAGTTGATCCCGTGTGGTCTACCCTATTACCAAATGGTGTCCTCCAATGAAGGGCGATGATAAGAGGAGCGAGACCCCGTGTAGTCCGCCTTGTCACTTACCTTTCGGTGGAAGGAGAAAATATGGTAAGGGGTAAGGATCCCGTGTGATCCACCTTACTATGACAACTCTTATGAAAACCCGCGAAAAACTAACCTACTAACAACATCTATTTTCTGATTCTACTGAGATGGAAGTAGAAGGAATATGGCCCTGTGTGACCTATCCTGCTATCTTAACCTCTTGATTAATGTTTATCTTATGATTCTATTCCAGATGAGATTGATGTTGTTTTGCATGTACATATCTTAAGTGGGGAATCACATGGTGAGGCAGAAAGTATTGACGATGTTAGCTTATACTTTCTTCTTTAGGCTACTGCCTCTAGAGATTGGTCTGATCAGAAGTTAGAGAGACTACCTAGAGGGGTTTATATCGATGTAGTATTATTCTCGACTATCATATCGATAGCAAAGAGGTGTTGAGATCGTATTAACCTGTGTGTGATTGCAGGTCATCTTGATCAAGAAGACTCGTTATGAGTCTATACAAGACTACATGTTGTTGTCTTATGGCAACAGATTGGTTCGCCAACTCAACCCTCACTCACCCTCAACACCCACACTTTGCATCGACCTTGCACTGAAAAGCATTTCTGATTTTTGCGTCATTGTCTAAAGGGTCTGTGTTCGATCAAAAAGAGTCTTTGAAATGATTAAATTCAAATACGGCTGAATGACCACGTCAAAAAGGGGATGTCTGACCGAGAGGTTTGGAAGCGTGAGTGTAATGTGGGTGAAAGTGAGTGAAAGGTTGGCTTTGTTAGGATTGTGTAATGTGATTGATTCTGTTTGCAGATCAGTAAAACGACCAGCCAACGCTGTTGACTGCAACCCGTCGAGAAACTTGCACTATTTTGGGCCTTGATACAGATGTCTCATCAGTGCGCAATTTTATACACTTGGTTTGAGTACCCTGCCTTGTATTTTTCCCTGATATTAAGCAAATTATAATTATTGATAAGGCAAAAAAACATTAATTTCATGTTCATTCATCTATAGGTGTTTGAAAGGTCAATGACCTATGCTTTCTCTAATGAATTCAAACTGTTTATGCGAATGTGTTAAGCGTACATGACATCTCCTTGCCTATATACTCAATGTCTAATTTCATTTCATATGTATGTGTGGTATGGTAAAGGACTTTCATAAAGAGATATGTTGAATAAACTTAATCACTAGGTAGGATGGGTATATGTCTTACGAGCGCCCCCTGATAATTCAAGTGTTGCGGGGGTCGTGCTCCGGAAAAGGGGATAGGTTATGAGTCATACATATAGAAACTATTTTTAGGCAAAGCGTAGTATGCGCGAACGTTCGTCATTCGAATCGACTTGATTTGTAAGTCGGTCCGGGAGATCAGCGCCCCGATGCTCAACACGTATATGGGTCAGTCTGAGGCGTTCAACCGCTCGTATGCCTATGCTACAGTGATCGAGTAAACGCTCTTGGTTGACCTACCTCTGTGAT